GCAGACTAAAGTACAATGTGTTTAACAAGGGAGAATCCAAAATCAATGTACAAAACAGGCGAGGCTCAATACATAAGAAAGCAAACAGAGTCTAAAGGGATAAGGCTAAAGTCGTAAACGAGAGGACAAGCAGAAACACAATTCGGAAAGTCAATACACGAAAAAAAAGGCTTGGTAATGCACAGAAACTGATACAATACTTCGCAAAGATGCAACTGATGCAAACACGCATATATAGTCCATGCAACAGATGTCAGAAATCAATAATCAGGCGAGCTAGAACGTTGATAGGTGGATTGTGGAGAGTTCAAGTTCATGTGACCTCCCAGTGGATTCTGGGAGTTGGAGTGCTGAACGGAGTGAGGAGTGTCAGTTTCCGCTACAGAAGGTGTGACAATATCATAGATGAGTTCTGATAGGAACTGTCCATATAGTTGTGCAGACATACTGCCTGTAGCAAATGTTTTTAGAAACATGAAATGAAAGATTTTCAAGACTTGGCCAATGGCCTAGCTAAAAAAGAGAAAAATATCCTCTGCTAGGTCCCCATATGGGATTTCTAACAGTATGTTAGCACTAAGCTAATGGTGGTGCACATTTTGGCCATTCTAAATTAAACACAAAAATATGAGGCTTGTAAAAAACATTGCATATGTTTAAGTTTGTAACAGATATTAACATGTATTGTACTTGATCTATGTGGATGTTTTATTAGATGAAGTGACCCTTATTAGTCCCACAATGGGGAAATTTGACCTCCGCATTTAACCCAGCCGTGCAGTGAAACACCACATACACACTAGTAAATACACACACACTAGGGGGCAGTGAGCACACTTGCTTGGAGCAGTGGGCAGCCCTATCCCCAGTGGAGAGCAGTTGGCGGTTAGGTGCCTTGCTCAAGGGCACTTGAGTCATGCACTGTTGGCTCAGGGGATCAAACTGGCGACCTTCCGATCACAGGGCTGGTTCCCTAACCTCCAGCTCATGACTGCTCCAATACATAGCGGGTCTCTCAGTAAAGAGCTCTTTACCACAGGGGCGAGCGGGGATTTGACCCACCACTTTTCAAAATACTGAAGCGAAGACGCACCACATTCTGATTGAGTTCAGATCACTCACATCATAAATAAATTAAACTGCACGGAGCGCTGACCAACAGACACAAGCAGAGATGGAGTCAATCTCATTGGCAGAATCAATCAAAATCTCTATTTGAGCAGGGGGGCGGGACATTTCCCAAACAGTAAAGCCTCCGTGAAACTAACGAACTAATGCACAGTCAGCAGTTATGTTATTAAACTATGTGAATTTATTAAATGTCACTTTGGATATTTCTTACTGCTACATTGCTAAACTAAGATAGCTGTCAGATCTGCTGTGGTTGCTGTGGAATAACTGAACTTTTTCTTTAGTTTGGTGAAGACTTCACTCGTATTTAGGTCCGCACCAAACAACTAATTCACGATTAAACACCAGAACACGTTTTCCTCAGTGCACTTCAGAGCTGTACTGTCTGCACAATCTGCCTGCTTTGAAAATTCACTCTTTACAACTGCTTATATCATTCCTGCAGCTGGAGCTGCTGTTAATAACATAAGAAGATCAATAAAACAACAACAAAGATATGTTTGAGGCTGGCACATGGATTTTTGGACAAGCATCAGCGACCTGATTACTACAAATTGACAAACCAATCATAAAGAAGGAGATATCAACCATGATCTACTATGATTGTGATACATTTTTTTGTATTTTTTCTATTTTGATTGGTGGCTGGTATGAGATTAACAGAGTGCTTGCTTCTTTGAAAAACTGGTGTGGACTTTAGAAAATGAACTGGGTACCAAAAAAGCCTGATGTTCTCAAGAGATGTCAGCTAGTTTGCTGCCTGAGGCTGAACCTAGTGAAGTGCAGGGCCACTGACTCTGTTCATGAACAGATTAATAGAGACATGCTATTAGCATGACATGAAAGGTGGTTTCAGTCAGTGGCCTAATTGCATTTTGTCACTCAGCCAGAGAATTTTTGAAGATGTGGCGCCACCCTTGCTTCGGCGGAGAGCTGCTGCTGCTGCTATTTTTTCATTTCTAGCAACTGACAGAACCCTGTCAGTTAGACTACAGCTCGTATTCGCAGTCACTGACATATCTGAGACTTTCAGAAGACCTGGAGTGATGTTTCTTTAGGAAATTGCTCCTACCCATTTTAAACATGATTGGTTCATTTGACAATCAGTTCCTAATTATATTGGTGGTAAATTAGATGCATAATGCCTTCCATCCAGCACCTGAAGTCCTAATCAAAAGGTTAGCTGTACCTGCCTAGACACCACGGAGAAAAAAAAGCGGATGTGCGTTTGGTATTTCAAGAACAAACCAACAAAACAAAACAATGTTTATAATGTTAACACTGTTTCCAATCAAAATGTAACAATGAAATAAGAGTAATACTTCAAAACTTACAGAGTTTAAATGTGTAGATCTACAGACAGAGAAATATGATAGTTCTAAGTAAAAATAAACCAAAAATCATGCATATTTTTAGTCACCAGAATCAGAGAAGACTTAGAAGGTTGTGAGTGC